TCTTCCTTACATTTTCAGATGAAGAAAGTAAGAAGGGGAAAAATAAGAGAAAAGGAAATACCCTAACTCTAGTTCTTAATAATTTTTTGAATTTTATAATCTGACTTGGGGTTTTTAATTATACATATCGAAACTTGTTTCTTGGGTTTTTTTTGTCACTGATTTATTATTATTTGAAATCATAAACATATTATAGACGCAAACAGACTCATTGGGCTTGGATCTAGAGACTCTCTTGTTCAGAGGGATATAAACCTTGGGCCAGTTAAGATCATTGGAAGTAACTATGACAAGCCCAAAATTGTTGTAAATTTTCATGGGCAAGAAAAGCACTTGAAAAAAAAAATTCATCCATGACATTAGCAAAGATGTGTGAGATTGCAAAGACAAATTTTGGTTCACCAGTCAAAAATGTTGTTATCACTGTGTCTGCTTGTTTCAATGATTCTTAACGTCAAGTAATTAAAGATGTAGGCATAATTGCTGCCCTCAATGTAATGCAAGTAATCAATGAGTCCACTGCTGTAGCGATTGAATATGGTGTTCATTAGACAAAGATAGTTTGGAAAAGGAGAACAACATTTTAGTCTTTGATCTTGGTGGTGGGACCTTTGATGTGTCTGTACTCACAATCAATAATAATGAGATCACAGTTAAAGTTGTTAATGGTAACACACACATTGGAGGAGAGGATTTTAACAACAGAATGGTGAAATACTTTATGAAAGAGTTCACGATGAAGCATAACAAGAACATTGATAATGATCACAATGATCATTTGAAGTTGAGAAATGCATGTGAGAGTGCAAAGAAAACACTTTCATCTGTTGTTGATATGACCATTGAGGTTGATGCTTTATATGAGGGTATTGACTTTAGTTCAACGATTACTCTTGCTAAGTTTGAGGAATTAAACAAAGTTCTCTTCGCAAAGTGTATGAAAATTGTAGAGAATTGTATTTTGGAGGCCAAGATGGACAAAAGTCAGATTGGTGAGGTTGTCCTTGTTGGTGGGTCTACAAGAATTCCCAAAGTTCAACAACTATTGCAACAATTCTTTGATGGGAAGGATCTGTACCAGAGCATCAATCCTGATGAAGCTGTTGCTTATGGTGCTGCATTTCAAGCTGCTGTATTAAGTAGCGAGCAAGGAAGTGAAAATGTTCCAAAGATTACATTGAGAGAATCAATTATAAAGATGAGAGGTACATAAAGAAAGTTGAAGAAAAGAAATATTTGGAGAGCTATATTTTAAAATCAAGATTGCTATAAATGATGAAGTGATTGGCTTAGGGCTTTCGCCAATAGACAAGAAGAAGATTGAGGATGCAATTTTGTAGATGATTTTATACTTTTTTAGTGTAAGGTAAATCATTAAATTTTTATGAAGTTATTTCTTCTCTTGATGCTAAGTTTTGGAAAGAAGAAATTGAGATTGAAATTGATTCCTTAAAGAAAAATAAAACTTGGATTTTAACATATTTGCCTCATATTGGGTGTAAATGGATTTTTTTAAAAAAATATTTGTTTGATGATTCAATCAATAAATATAAAACAAGGCTTGTGGCTAGGGGTTTTACACAAAGGAATATTGATTATTTTGATATCTTTTCTCTTGTTACTAGAATTTCTTCCATAAAAATTCTTATTACTTTAGCTTTAATTTACAAGTTTTTTGCTTACCAAATGGATGTTAAAACATTATATTTGAATGGTGATTTAGAAGAAGAGATTTATATGATGCAACTTGAGGGATGTGTGGTTCCTGTGCAAAATAAAATAAAATAAAATAAAGTTTATAAATTTGTCAAATCTTTGTATAGCTTAAAGCAAGTGCCTGAATAATGGCATGCAAAACTAAATCAAGTTTTAATAAATGATGGGTTCTCTGCTATTAAAGTAGACAGATGTGCTTATACAAAGCTTATAAACAATTATTGTGTGATTATATACTTATATGTGGATGACATACTAATCTTTGGCTCTAGTATGAATGTCGTAGATGAGACCAAAACTTTTCTTCAAATTTTGATATGAAAGATATGGGTGAAGGCAAAGTGATCTTAGGTGTGAAGATCATAAGGAATGATAATGGAATTTTACTTTCCCAAAAATATTATGTCGAGAAAATTTTCAAAAGGTTTCAACATCTTGAATATGCTCCTCTAAGTACTCCTTATAATTCGAGTGTGTAATTAAAAAAGCACAAGGATGATTCAGCTGTTCAATTTGAGCACGCATAGATTATTAAGAGTCTGTTGCATTTGATGAATTTTACCAAGCCTGATATAGCTTATATTATAGGCAAATTGAGCAAATATACCCACTATCTAGATAGTAAAACTAAGGGCTTTGGTAAGAATTTTGAGAGATATCATGAGTTATGATATATTCTATAGTGAATTTCCTATTGTATTGGAAGAATACAGTGATGCTAACTAGATCTCAGATTTAAAAGAGATAAAATCCACTAGTGGTTATATATTCACTTTGCTGGTGGTGCAATAACTTAAAAGTTTGCAAAACAGGCAACCAATACAAAATCCTTGAGGGATTCTAATTTTATTGTTATGGAACTGATTGGAACTGAGACTAAGTGGTTAAAAAATTTCTTAGAGAATATTCTAATAGGGGAAAAGCCTACACCATCAATGTCTTTACACTACGATAGCCAATCTGTGATAGCAACAGCTAAAATAAGATCTTTAATGACAAAAGTAGACATATTAAAAGACATAATATTATAAGGTAGCTGTTTAAAGATAGGTTAATCTTAATTGATTATGTAAGATCAAAATGTTAAATTTAATCGATCTATTAACTAAGTCCTTAGGGAATAAATTTATCATTGAAACATTGAGGGGAATGTGACTTAAGCCTATTTAAAATTAATAGTGATGGCAACCCAGCCTTTGTTATTGGAGATCTCATGAAGAAGGTTCAATGGGTAAGAACAAGTTACTTGTTAGTTCTAGTAGCATTAAATTTTCTATCCCTTTTTAAGACTTGAGAAAGTGCTAGAATACATTGATTGGAGGCTAAGCAAAAGCTCTTAATGATTTTCGTAGTCCTTATGAATGGTGTATTCATTATAAGCACACTTGATGAAAACATCTATAAAAATGTGGAGTAGGGCCGCTCCTATGAGATTGTGACAAAATCTTTAAAGTATTTGTTAAAATCAAGTGCGCGCATGATCGATAATGTGCAAAACCATCATTAACAATAGAAACTATAGGGGTATAACTAACTAATAAGGCCTCTGGTATATGCCCAAGACTTTTTGGTTTATAAAAACATGGTTTCACTGATATTTTTGTCTACTAAGTTTTATTGGTCTATGTCACATGCCAACATTAGATATGATCGGCATGAACTATGAGATGAACTCACATTTTATAAGCCTCAATTAGTAAGAGGTTAAGCTAAATTATCGATATATATAAGTTATATATAACAATAAAGTTTGTAGAATTTCAAATGTTTTGTTAAAATTTCAACAAAATCTCCCTTATAATTTGGACTTCTAAAAATTTTTATAATAACAAAACCTATCAACTAAATTAGCAAGGGAGACTAACTTCACATTAGCAAATTATATACCAACAAAATAACCTAGGATCCAATTATGGTGTATGTGAAGCATTAAATTACAATTGTATAATACAAAATATAATTTCACCAAAATGGGATATTCATAATGTGCTTCCTCTTTCCAAAATAATAAGGCCCCTCAATGATCCACAAGAGTTGTAAAGTTAGCTATAATATTTGAGACCAAAAAAATTTTTGGTGAGTAGTGTTCCAATCAAAATTATAATAAAAAAATATAAAGATAGTAACTAATAAATTTAATTCAAAATGACTTAATGAGATAATGAAACATATATTTAAGCTGATAATAAATAACAAGTTTTCTCAATAATATAATTGTGAAATTAAACAATGTTATTAGAATCACATAAATATATTAAAATTGTACTACTCATTAAATAAAAAAATTTCAATAATAATTCAATTCAATAAAATACTTTTAGAGGATTAATAGGGAAATGATAAATCAATTGTTAATTGGCACCAATGTACAGGGCCTAAAGTAGCTAATGATATATCAATGTCATTCTCATAAAGAATCAATTGTTAATTGGTAAATAGACATTAAATTTCTTAATTTCATTCAAGTTAAACAAACAAAAATCAATGGTAGGAGTTTCAAAGTAAAATTAAAGCGATGTAAAATTAAGCAACTAAGCTTTTAAAACACTCTAAATTCAGTGAAACAATAAGAGCACTCTGGAGTGCTAATCCCTCGTTTGCTCCATTATTCTTAACTTATCTTTTCAACTGATTTTAATTCAATTTTTAAGGGTTAAAACTCTCTTATTAATCTTGAATATCTTCATATTGTTCAAAATTCTAACAAATTTTAACTCAATAATTGCTTAATTACCAACGTTTAAAAAATAAGGGGAAAAGAAAATATATGTCTAAGAAGCTAGTAAGCGTAAAAAAATGGTCTATTATTTGATTAATTCAAAATAAATGCATGCAGATACATGGTTATATGATGAATTTTTCGTTTATGATAATAAGTATATAAAAATAAAAATAAAAACTCATTTTAAGGACTTTACACAATTGGGGCTTTTGCACAGAAATTAAAAGAACAAAATTTGAGAGTTCTTTGTGGCTTCCGCAGCGCGAATAGATCGATGCGTTATTTCTTGGACAGAAGTTGCTTGGAGGTTTCACCATGAATCTTTTTGTGCCAAGTTGTCACGCAGCTATGTTCGAAGAAAGACCATTCCAATGTATTATCTTATTCTCAGGAAATCTTCAGACTGATGCAGTGGGCCAGGTGAGTTGTTTCATATGTAACTAAGGAAACGATGGCCTTAAACACTGGTTAGGTTATAAATGGTGCATGGATACCGAGTTTCTGCACAGAAAAATAAAAAAAAATAAACTTCAGAAATTGAGAGCAAACTAATAAGGTTTCCATGGAAAGTTCAGCTCCAGTACCATCTTCGTCGTCAACAGTTTCAAGAACTTCTCTTCTGGTTTTGAGGGGTCAGGCCTTGGTGTTTCTGGTGATTTCTCTCATTCTCATTTCAGTTGATAAGGCAACTGAAGTGTTTGCAAATGATGGTGTCAAAATCAAGTTCAATGATCTTCAGTCCTATAGGTACGTGATTATTTACATATACACAACTGTATTGTCACAGATTATTGGATTGATTTAAGAAAACACTCTATTTCGATTATTGGATGATCAATGTACTTTTAAGAATGTCAGAATGTGAAGAGAACTCCGTTTAAGAAGAGTTGTTTGTGTTTTGCTAACAGTGAAAAATACTTCATACTCCCTCCAGTGAATAACAATATATAAGAGAGAATGTGAGATAAATTTGAAAATTTCCTATTTAAATATATATAAAATCAAAAATTTATTTTATTTTTAGATAAAGTTAATGATTGAACTAATTTCTTTAGGAATCAGAAGAAGTATAATTTTAATGAAGGCTTGTATTAATTTTAAACATAGAGAAAAGATTGCGTAATATATATATATATATATATATATAGGAACATAAATTAACAAGTCCTTTCAGTTTTCTTTAATTTTGAATTAATTTCTTGTAGTTTATTTTGTTTTAGTACAACTATTATAGTTTGATTTATTAGATATATTAACCCCTGAATTTTAAAATTATTAATGAGTAATTAACTTTTCCAAAAACAAAAACGCCTTTGAATTTTATAAAAAAAAATTGATTTAATGCTTTTAACAAAAAAAAAAATCTGATTTAGTATTACAATGTTCATATTTTATTAATTTTTTATTAAAATTATTTATATGCAAAAATTATTTAAAAGATATAATCTAATTATATAAATTTTGAGTTATAACAATTATGCAATTAATTCTAAAGTCATAAAATCTTTTAGTAAAATCATAAAATTTCTTAATATCATTTTTAATAGAAAAATTCGAGAATTCTAATCTTTAGATATTATCATATTAACACATATAATGGATCGGGACAGAATTGAAATAAAATAAACTCCAAAGATTTAATTTAAAATTGAGAAAAATTATGGGAATGAGCATATTAATTTTTCAAAAAAAATTATTTTCCAAGTTATATTTTAGATCAAGAAAAAAGATAAAAGCATGATATTGCAACAGATTTTATTATTAAATAAAACTAAATTTAAAGAAATGATATGTCCATGATCGTATGAAAGGATCAATTATATATATAATGATAATTTGATCTTATTCAATTTTCTATTACGAGAATCGACTATATATAAATAGGAGAATCTCCCCCTTTCTAACGAAGGAGGATATTGCTTTTCAAATCGTTTCCTGAAACTTGTGGCAAGCATGCATGCATAGATTATGAGAAATAAAATATATGAATTCTATGAAGGTTATGAGCCATTTGACAAGCATTAATTAATTACAATTATAATCTTTTAATGCAGATACATGTTGGCTGCAATAATCATTGGGTTTGCTTATAACCTCTTTCAAATGGCTCTCTTAATCTCCAATGTGGTCTCAGGCAAGCGCCTTATAAGTGGCGATTTTGGCTATCATCTTGATTTTTTTGGTGACAAGGTACATCACATGCTTGCGATTAGTTAAGAAATTGATTGAGGAAACAAACTTCCAATTACTAAAACTTGATATGACTTTCTTAAGCATTAATAAGAGTACACATTTTTTCATTGTTAATTAGTTTTCAAAGGGAGAATGACAATTTAGATTTCAAAATCTTTTGCTTAAAGATCATGAATTGGAAATATGGCATTCTTAATTAGTTGCTAATCACTACGACTGACCTCTCACTCTGGGACTGAGATTGTTATACTTGTAAATGTCTTAATCAATATTTAAATCTGACCCTCATTGATTTAGTTCAAGGCCCAGAATGCCCTTTATTTTTAAACATATTTTTTACTTCTTAAAATTAAATTGTCATTATTATATTATACACTAATATTCTAATGTACAAATTAGGATGCTCTCACACTCAAAATAAGTAATACAAGTCATAACTTTCAAACACATATGTTAAAGTTTAAATTTAATCCAAATATATAAAAATAACGTATTTTTTAATGTTGAAGTATGGGCTTAAATGGGTAACTTGAGCCTAAAGTCTTTTTTTTTTTCAGCACACAAAAAGACTAGGCTCAAAACCCCTTTTATATATTAAAATAAATTCCCAATTTTCAAAGCCAAGCCTGATAAAACAATTTAAAAAGATAACCCTATAAGTTCAACCCATATTTCTAGCTTTTGGCTAAAAATTATTTCCCCTCATGGAAACAAAATAATTTTAAAAATTTGTTGTGGACAGATCACAGCATACCTATTAGCAACCGGTGCTGCGGCGGGATTTGGTGCAAGCGAAGATGTGCAAAGGGCCTTCACGGAGTTGCTATTGGTTCCTATCGACGCCTTCTTCAATATGGCCAATGCTTCAGCTGCTCTTCTCTTTGTTGCATTTCTATTTACAGCCACAGCTTCTGTTTTTGCTTCCTTTGCTTTGCCTACCAAAAAAGCTGATCAGCGTCTTGTGGAAGATAATGCTTGAATTATATTGCATTCATCTCATTAACTATTTCTTTTTCCTCTATCTATTCAATGATAGATATAGATATTAATCCAATAATGGACTATCACAACTTGGATTTGTATGTTCATCAATATATGTAACTAGTGTTTCTTCGGTGGCTATGTATATTTGTTTGTCCAGATTTAATTGCCAATAATTGTAGTGCTTGGTTTGATTTATTAATGAATATAACGATGGTGACATTTAGAATAATAAAATTTAATTCGACAATTTTTTTTGTTGTCAAAATCGTCTGCTCAAAAGAGTGTCGCCATCAATGAGCCTGCTAAATTTAAATTCACCTTTCTTAGCCGTGAGGAAAGTCACATCAAACCCACCAAATAAAAAGTTATCTTAACAAACCTATAAGGGTACCAGATGCTCCATGCCAAAAAAAAAAAAAATCATAGAAAAAAATTATGATCAATATTAATTGTCATTTATGACGTGCGGGAAATGATAAAGTTGACCTCAATAATTTACAAATCAACATTTTAGAGTTATAAGTCAACCTATTTAAGGGGTTAATTGGTAAATTTGTTTCTGTTTTTTTTTTTCCATTAATTTGACTGTTTCGTTATATGATCAATGGACAATTATCTTCTTTCACTTCTACTCTTAGCAAGTAATAATAGGGACACACATATATATAAACATCTATTTTTTAAATACTCATTTCCTACAAAGAAAGATTTAAAAAGTTTCTTACTTTTCTGCATCAAGTCATCAACATTAATTGAATTAGAATAGAAAAGATGTAACAAATAATCAATATAGTCTTATTATATGCACCACAAAGCCTCATTCAACTACCATATAAGTAGAGCCAGAGTACTTAGTGATCACATAAAATTGAAAATGAAAGAAACTACAATAATGATAATTTAGTAAAATTATATTAAGTTTTTTATTTTTTAATATTACATTTTTTTTTCACAAAACAATACTCCCTCTAGTTCTATTTGTTAGTTACTTTATATAAAAATATGAAGCATTCATAATTAATTAACTTTTTTTTAAAATGACCCGTTTTTATAATTTCCTAGGACTCACTGATGGGATACAGAATCAATTATATTTAATATTTTTTATTAGAATGATCTTAGGATTTTATTTTAATAAATGTAATATTTTAGATTACTAGGTTTTGTTTTAAATTATTTTAGAATATTTCCATCTAATTATTAGGATTTATAAAATATTTTTCTCTTAATACTTTTTTTTCTAGGACTAAGTTAAGGTCTATAAATAACATCTTAATGCATTTGCTTTATATGTCTTTTTGAATAAATAAGAATTGATATTGATTTGCTTCCCTCTAAGTTTCTTTCTTTGTTTTTTTTTTCCTCTGCTCTTTTCTGTCTCTATCTTCTTTCTCTTATCTTTTCCCTTCCCCCTTCCCCTTCTACATCACTTGCCTTTTAAAATTAATTTGTTTTTAATTAAATATGTGTAAACTTGAAAAGTTTTTTTATCTTAGATCATTTTAATAATTTAACTATATGTCCTTTATATTGACTATGATAAGATGGTTAGAAGTGTATTTAGGATGGGGAGGGAAGGAGCACCGTATTAAATGCTAATGCCTTGAACAAGAGCATGTTTACAGAAAAGAACAAAACTAGATAGTTTTTATGTGGCTTTGGTGGCAACCATACATATCAATGCGTTATTTCTTCAACAAAAGTTGCTATCGAGATTTTCTATGAAGCTTTGGATGCCAAGTTGTTACCAATGGAGCTACTTTCAAAGTAAGCCATTCCATTATCGTACTGATGTTATTTTTATTTTATTCCTAAGGAATTAAATCTTCACATTGATACATTGGCCAATTGATTTGTCTTATATGTAACAAAACGAAAGTAAAAAGACACTAGTATGGCCTGGACACTTGTTAGGTTATATTATAAATGATGCAGGACACACAAGAGTTTCTGCACAGAATAATGCGTTTGAAATTCAATGGAAACTAATAATAAGGCTGCCATGGAAAGTTCAGCCTCAAGACAACCGTCGTCGTCGTCGTTAACGATTTCAGGAATTGGTCTTCTGGTTTTGAGGGTCATGAGCATGGTGGTGTTGGTGGTTGCTCTTATTCTCATTTCCATTGATAAGGGAAGTGAAGTTTCGGACGACGGCGAACGTTATAAAATCAAGTTCAATGATCTTCACTCCTATAGGTTCGTCTAATTATATGCTCACAGCATTGTATTGTGGAGTGTTTTTTAGAGTAAAATTTAAGTATTTAATTAGCATTATTTATTTAATATACTTTTATCCAATGAAATTAAGACAAATGAATTTTAATGTACTAGTAATATGAATAACAAAAGTTTGTTATAGAATAAATAATTTATAAATGAACTACATGTCTTGATTTAATTAAAAACAAGCACCTTAGTTATATAAAGTTAAGTATACAAAATTTTTCCTTTCTATTATTTTAAAAACTTGTAAAGACTGTATAGGAAAACTGAGGGCTACAAATACTTTTATTTAGTTGTTGAAAGATTTTTTTTAAAAAAATTCACCAATTATTATTTTAAAATACAGTTTAATTGCCTCTTCTCTAATGACAATTACATTTTTGTCATATTTTTAAAATTTCCATTAAAAATAGAATTATATATGTAAAATTCAGACATGCCTCTACAAAAGGTAAAGAAGAAATTACATAATCATTTTAAATTACGCAGACGCCTGAGAACCTGAAACTCGAGGCAAGCATTATATGTAGATTTAGTTAATATCCCATTCAATGTACATTGTTGTAATGAACAAGTATAATTATGATAATAATTTTTTTTTAATTGCAGATATATGATGGTAACAATAATCATCGGGTTTGCGTATAACTTCTTTCAAATGGCTCTCTCAATCTTCCATGTGGTCTCAGGAAAACGTCTTATAAGTGGTGATTTTGGCTATCTACTTGATTTTTCTGGTGACGAGGTACAGCTGATCATGCCATTATTAATTATTAATGGATAAAAAAACTTCTAATTAGTGAAATTCTTAGGTGCTATTCAAGTTAAATATATGACTTTTTCCAGCCAACATGTACGATTATATATTTTCAGTGTTTGCTGTTAAGTGTTCAATAAAACTATATATGATATGTAACTGAAAGGAAACTGTTTTAATAGAGTCAATAGTAAAGTATGAATTGTATCGTAGTTCGGCTGAGACTTTTTTTGTTTCATGATTTAAGTTAACAACACTTGAAAAAATGTGCATAAATTTAACCTATTAACCATTAGTCTTTTCTATAAACGCCTTTTTTCCGTAATTTTAAACCGTGGTTTTAGTTGTGATTGTGATGATAAATTAAATGCAATGATTATAAAAGAGATAAAAATATTACAATTTCAAAGGTACGTTAATTTGGCCAAAAAAAAAAGGTACGTTAATAAAAGCAATGTGAATCTCTGCATGGAATCTCATGACACACACAGAGAGCACAATTATTTTAAAATACATCAATTGTGGAATCATTAGATATATTATTGGCTGTGAATTGTGATCGAATCATTTATAATATTATTGGATTAATGTTTATTTTATTTCTTTCTTGCCCCTACGAGCTAAATATAATTTGGTTTTGTGATTCTTTTTCTTTGTTTTTTTTTTTGGGGCAAAACATTTGGCAGTATCATACTCGAGCTCCGTCCGTCCATTTTATAAGATAATTTTAAATAAAATTATGTATATAAATAAAACTAATTAAATATACTTTACAATATTATTTTTTCAAAATAAAAAATATAAATTTTTAAAAATACCTATAATTTAATGAAACATTAGAGACAGAGTGTATCTATAATTAGAAGTGAATGGTAAGATTGAAAAATATATTTAATGAAATATTATTTTTGTTAAATTTTCTTCTAAATGAAAATAAAGTATAGTAGCAACCAAACAAAAGAGGACAACAAAAGAAAATTATGATTAAACATTACTAGATCTAATTGAGCATTGCTTGTTAAATAACCTTAATTTGTATAAATTCTTGTGCAGATCATATCATACTTATTAGCGACCGGTGCTGCGGCCGGATTTGGTGCAACCCTAGATGTGCACAGTACCTTCACTGAATTTTTAAACGTTCATTTCGACAGTTTCTTTAACAAAGCAAATGCTTCAGCCAGCCTTCTCCTTGCTGGATTTCTGTTCACAGCTACATCGTCTATTCTTGCTTCCTATGCATTGCCCAAAAAAGTTTAGCTTCTTCTGCATTCAAGATCATCATCCATGCTTGGTTTGGATTTGGATTGATCGAAGTATTATTGTTCATTCTTCAATAATATGACTCAGATCTTTTGTCACCATGTGTTTCTCTATACAAATTTGATTTTTAGGGGCTATAATTGTTTTGATTTATCAATTAATAATGTATTTTTATTCAATTAAATTAAAATAATTAAATTTTGACGTGTTAATAATTTTAATAAAAAATTTATTATTGAATAAATAATATAAAAAATTTTATATATTTTAATTTAATTGAAAATAAACACTTTAAATATATACAATATTAAGGGTATAAAGTTTTTCTAATTCAAATTGCTCAACTCAATCAAACAGTGGAGTCAACTATTAGTTTTTTTTTTTTCAGGAAAAAAATTTCAGTCACTCAATCTAGTCATTTAATTAAATTGTATTTGTTCATTGTGAATTTTTGTGTGTAAATTGTAAAACTTTTGTTTTTGTTTTTGTTTTACTGAATAAATTTATTTTTTGATACTAGACTGCTTAATATTTTAGGTTAATTGTCCGCCTCAACTTAAATTTGGAACCTTATATTAGAGATTATATGATGGTTACAAGTACTATTGGGACACCTCCTTTAGGTCATTTTAATTATTACGGCTGTCACTTTTTAAAATTTGAAGTTTTGTCCTAAAAATTGTCGGTAATAACCCTTAGCAAGTCTACGTCCATTGGTTTGACTGGATAAATTGTAAAACTTGAAAACGTATTTTTGGACACTCAAGTACTTGCCATCATGAGTTGGTCGGGAAAAAAAAAAAAAGTACTTAACATCATGGCTTGAATCCCCAGAATATGCAGAGGACACATTCAAACGAGGTAGCTTCTGACCGTTGGACAATAGGCTGAATCCTAACAGCGTTATGTTCCGTCAGCCTCAATAAACTTGCCAAGCTAAACGGTGACTAACGGCAAGTTTACTCGCTTAACCCTCCCATGTAAACTCGCCGTCCGAGCAATCTCGACTGTGAGTTTTTTGTCTGAGTTCCGAGAAGCGATTTGCAGACAACGGTTTCGTTACTGACATTAAATCTTGGTTGAATCCAGGTATGTGTAAAATTTCAACTTGCTCTTCTGTATAACTTCGTCTTTAATCGAAGTTCAATCCCTACTAACTCTATCTCTTATATGATCGACATCTGATCCCTTATCAACATCGCAATTTCTCAAAATCGATCCATAGTGTTTTTTTGCTCCCTTGAGATAACTCAACATTCTCTTTAATGCCTTCCAATGACTGTGCTTTGGACCATACATGTACTGATAGAGTTTGTTTACTCTGTAGGAGATATTTGGTCTTGTCTCAGAGAAGGATCATTTTGCTGATGAGCTTCCTTTTGCTGAGAGCTTGGCTAAACTCTTAATAGGAGTTGGCAAAGGATTTGTATTTTGGGTTTTCCGTACGAGTCTGATATGCATATCCCATGTGATCAATGTTAATTTCCATTTTAGATTTCAAAGCCTCGACACCCGAGAAATAGTGTAAATATCCCAAGTTTTTCAATGCTAAAGATGAGTTCAAAGAATGAAAGAACTGACTAGACTTTTGATTTCTGTTTCTAAACAACATGTAATTGTAAGGTGTCCTGTACATATACTAGAATGTCAATAAAAGCCAAACCTCTGGAGTGTTGTGTTCAGCTTTTCAAACCAGGCCCTGTTTAGCATTATTCATCTGCCTCTTTGATTTTCAAACTCTTTGCTAAAACTGAACAAACGAAATCTCGCAGTTTTGCAGCCTTACTATAAGGATCTTGTTCTCTTATGACTTGCAACTTCCAATCGCTTCCCTATGTCCAAGAACTACCTTTCTTCTTAGACTGTCTCCCAAGATCCCATCAATTCAAGGAGAAGCGAATGAGTGAGAGATCCCCGGAATTAGCCATTGGAATCGATCTTGGAACCGCATACTCGTGCGTTGCAGTGTGCCAACACAATCAAGTGGAGATCATCATCAATGACCAAGGTAACAGAACGACGCCGTCTTACGTTGCCTTCACTGATACTCGGAGGATGGTCGGTGATGCTGCCAAGAACCAAGCTGCACGTAACCCTGCTAACACTGTCTTTGGTAATTATCTTTCTTAGCTTACTACTTTCCCCTAATTGTTGCTCTGAACTTGGCAACGAGGGAAAATAGAACTATTGAAGGGTCTACGATGAAAACTTTACTGCAGAACATTTAGATCATGACAGCATATTTAGGTCACCTTCAATTAATTTTGTTCATATGAAGAGGCTCTGGCCAGTTTTTCATTATCATTACTTGCAATTGTCAATATTTTGCAGATGCGAAGAGGTTAATTGGTAGGAGATTTAGTGATTCCCAGGTTCAAAGTGATATGAAGCTGTGGCCAGTTAAAATTATTTGTGGTGCCAATGATCAGCCCAAAATTATTGTAAGACTTAAATCTCAAGAACGACACTTTCATCCAGCTGAAGAAATCACATCCATGATATTAGCAAAGATTCGTAAGATTACAGAAACATATCTTGGTTCACCAAGTTAAGAATGCAGTTATTACTGTATCTGCATATTCCAACTTCCATCAATGCCAAGTGACCAAAGATGCAGGCACAATTGCTGGCCTTAGTGTTATTCAAATAAGCAAATAATCAAAGAGCCCACTGTTATTGTAACAATTGCATATGGTCTTCGCAAGAAAGATAGCTAGGACCAGGGGCGGAACATTTTGGTGTTTGATCTTGGTGGTGGTACCTTCGATGTGTCTCTTCTAAGAATAAAGAACGGCTGCTTCAAAGTTATTGCAGTTGATGGAGACACACACCTTGGGGCAGAGGACTTTGTCAATAGAATGGTGGACTTCTTTGTTGAAGAGTTATTGAGGAAGCATAAGAAGGACAGTAAATTGGGTTGTTGGATTGCTTATGAGTGTCAGGTTTGTTAAGGATTTGATACGACAATGGTTAGTCAATTTACATTTTGTGTTTTTCTTAAATATATGTATACTTCACACTCTGGTTTCAGCAGACCTCTTGTTTAAATTGATACATAAATGGTAAGCTTTTGGAAGGTTCTGCGTTGGTTGATATTGTTGGTGGTAGCTATGCAAAATTTGTTCTAAGTCATGCCTAAAGATATTGTCTTTAAGAGAAATTTTGATATAATTGTCAGAACTCCCTAAGATTAAGAGGAACCCTCCTGTAAAAATAATAAGGCAGCAGAATAGTAAAAATAATTCAAAATGAAAATTGAATTTAGGAAGCAAAACACAAGAGAGGAAAAGAGTTGCCAATAACTCAAAATGCTATGCACAAGTCTCATGCACACACACTGATATTTATAGATATATACTCCACAATACCGTTGAAGCCAAAATGAAGGAACATTAACCCACCATTCAAAGAAATAAAATTATTAAAAAAATCATTGATGGGACGGTTTTGGACGCTGAAGGTATGAATTACATGGTAATCTAATATGATAAATAATAGTCTTGAAGACAAACCTCACATTTCCAGCGCATTAAGGAAATGAATTACTATTACTTCACCATTTGGACAAAATAAAATGGCATTAAAATTGGATGTTTCTGGATGTTGCAAGTAAGTTAATTAGCATATTAAGATTTGATAATTAGAAGTTAAATGGGAGTAATGTTGTCTGGCAAGGTAATTAAGGGAAATAAATTTATTATTTGAATTTGAATTTAAAGTAAAGTAAATGAAGGTTTTTTTTAAAAAAACACTTTTAAATAAATATTTTTAAATTTTTGTCAAAAATATTTTCACAAAAATTGCTGAGATCTCTCATCTCATGTGGGAAATGAGAGACTTATCTTTTGACACACTATCACAATAATTCAACAGATGTTGAGTGGGGTATATTTAACATTCAAGAACAAGATGAAGCAATGCAACTTGAATATTTCTAGGAGGATTTGCAATCACAGCTTGCAATCACAGCCAAATTTTAATCATAAACACTTGTTTTCTTGTGTTAGAATTTAAGTTTGGTTTTGGGCTGTGCTCCATTCTTAGCTAGCCCGTCTTACCTAGAATTTTCTTGACAACGAAGTAGGTCTTAGGAATGAAAAAGAAAATATCAAACCATGTTGGACAAGTTCAATTAGAAAACTGATGAATTTGCTGGTCATTGACTTCATTGGAGAGAAGAACGTGTAATCCTTCAAGTGAAGGAAGAGTTGTATTTTTCATTTGTCCGTAAATCATCTTAGAGGATTTGTTATCCTTATTTTTTTGTTAGATGATTAATGAAGGTTTATCATTTTCTTGTTAATGTTCTTCTCTTTGTACTATACTTAACCCTCGTGATTTGTGACAAAAAAGTAACTTTTTCATTAAATTTCTCACTAATATGGTATTATATAGAAGAGTTATTTTTCATTAAATATTCTTGCTAAATTACATTTTTCTAATGGTATATTAATAAAAAAAGATAGAAACCATAAAATAAATTATGCTAGACATGTCTAGAAAGTTGCTAAATGCTAACAGAATCAACCAAACAATTGAAGGCTTGTGTTTTTTGTTTGGAAATTGTTGTAGCTGAAGAAGCATTTTTTAATTTGTTATTAGCTTGAACAAAGAATGGTCACTATCTTAATGATTATATATATAGTCATTTAGCTCCTAAGATCAATAAACTTGTAAGGTAATAAAATAAATTATAAAAAATAAAATTGGCTCTTAAATTATAAATTTAAAAGCATTTAGGATTCAAAACTCATTTTTAATTTAATATTTTCTTTTAACTTTTAAAAACGATACAATCCAATCCCACCATTAGCAAAATTAACTTTAGCTATTAATTGACTAAAAAATAATACAAAAGGACCTTCTAAATTACAAAAAAATTACAATAAAGGACCCAAATAATTATAGAAAAGGGCCAAGAAAAATTTATGTATCTTTTTTTTGTATTTTTTTATCCTTTTATATCCTTTTTGAGTCATTTTTTATCATTTTGTGGTCAACTAACTGTTAGAGTTCAATTTTGTTAACAATAGGAGTTGAATTATATTGTTTTTAAAAGTTAAAAGAAAACATTATATCAAAAATGAGTTTAAAATTTTAGACATTCTTAGACCTATAATTTAGTGATCAATTTGTTCTTTCACCCCAAAATAAATTTGAAATAGTTAGTCGTTAATAGGTTTTATGCCTTTCATTGAAACAAAGTAGTCAATTACTTTAATCATTATATTCACTGAGTTTCAGGGATCAATAAACTCGTAGATTGATAAAATAAATTTAGAGAAATTAGTTATCATTGGCCAAGTGTTATTTGTCTTTAACTGAAATAAAGTAGTCACTGTTTTAACCATTATATATAAGTCATTTTAATTCTAGGCACCAATAAACTTGGAGGCATTGATGCAATAATTTTGTGAAAATAATTTATCATAGGCTCAGCATTTTTGGTCATTTGCTGAAACAAAATAGTCATTAGCTTAGCCATTATAGCCATTTAATTAGCTCTCACAACCAATAAACATGAATATTGAAAAAATAAATTTGGAGATATTAGCTGTTGTTGGCTAAGTGTTTTTCGTCATTTGTAGATGCAAAGTAGTGATCTTGCCTTAACCTTCATCGCCATTCAGCGCCGGAGATCTATAATTTTCTTATCATCGGCAGAGCTTTGGCAGCTAGATATCGAATCTCTTACTAGTTGACAAAGCTATAGCCTGGTGATCAACAGTGGGTAAAGTAGTAAATTTAGTCATGTATTATTTTTTCAAGAGCATCTAATAGCATAAATTATTAGGAGGTGTGAAATAAATCATCAACTTTCAAAAATAGAGTATTCAATAGCTTACCGTTAATTTCAATCAACAAGCGTTATATGAGACCCACAATGGCCGCAAACTATTTTTTGAAAAATATTGAGTAGCCTCTACTATAAAAAAAAAAACCATCTCACACTTTTTTATTAATTTTGACTAAATACTATTTATTGTCATATTTATGAGACCCAAAATGTGTTATTCTTTTCAATCTTCTTGTCTTCGTTCGAGAAAAATAAGTTTAAAAAGTTCTTATCTAAAGACATTCACGAGGACGATGCCAATGGAGTACAATCTTTGATTTTACTATGTGTGAGAAAAGCTTGATTCTCTCTTAATTTAGACACGAATTATTTCTTCTACTTTGTTGGCTTCATCTTCATGAATGCCTTTAGATAAAAAATTTTTAAATATGACTAAAAATGAAGTCAAGAAGATTTGAGAGATTGAGGTGTTGTGTGTCTTATAAGTCTGAAAATAAATAGTATTTGATCAAAATTGATGGAAAGGTGTTAGGTAGTTCATTATTTTTTATAGTAGAGGCTACCCAATACTCTTCAAAAAAATAATTTGTAATTAAATTTGCACCTTCACACATGCTGATGTGGAGTGTCGGTAAAGTACCACGTGTCATTGTAAGCACCACATAACATCCGTCAACTGAAGTTAATGGTGAGCCATTGGATACTCTGTTTTTCAAAGTTAATTTTTTTCGCATTATCTAATAGTTTAAGCTATTTGAGACTCCTAAAAAAATAGTATGTGACTAAATTTGCTATTATGGGATTATTTTTCTTAATAGTAATATGATAATTTCCTAAAAGAATTATGTCAAACAAATATTTAGATACTTGGAAATAATTACCCCAGTTCCCAATCCCTCTGTGTCATTTGGGGAGGCTTTTTTATCATTTTGCCTTTAGAAATTCACTCCATGATTGATTCTTATATCATGACTACGTTCTCCACTGTCCTACATTTTCTAGAAGTATTTTAGGGCCTAAATTTAAATTGGCTTTATAAAATTCATTGTACTTGATCCAAAAATATTTCCATGTTATGGGTGAAAGAAGGTGGACTAGGGTAAAAATATTCTTAAAGTTTTTGAAAAGAAGGATTGAGTTTCTTTATCTTTTGGAAGCGGCAATATAATATTATCCTGAAAGTTTAAAAGGCAGAGCAATTTTACCTTTTTTTTCAATGATTGACTACGTGTGATTAATGAAATGTTAGAAACCAATACCTACAAGCTACATGGAATGCTAAATTGACAAGGCATTTAAAAAAAAAAAAAAAACCA